CCTGGCGGCGGCGCGGGCGCCGTGCGCGACTGTCCCCGCGGGACCCGCCGGGGGCGGCGCAGCCGGGGCTGCGCGGGCACTGCCCGTCCCGCTGGGCCTCTGCACCCAAAGGCATCGCTTGTAGCCAGCTAGGCCGGGACTTAATGCCTGCCTTTGAGTGAAGTGTTACGTTAGAGTTGAAAACTCAGGCAGGAAATAAGAGAGTAAAATTATTGACATGATATGCTCAAATTCCTAAGAAAGATAATAATGCCACCAGTTGTTACAAGTGAACGAGTTTCTGGTAGCACAAGCACAAAGAAGTGGCTTGTCTTATGCTTCTTGTTCATTCCCAGCAGCATCATAAGGAGACACAAAACAAAGCATGCTTCTCATTTCCATAAATCAAAGTATTTGGGGTTCTTGTTATTTTAAACCAAATTATACTTCTCAGAAAGTTCTCATTTTCAGTAAAAACTCAGTGATAGGATGTTGTTTGCTGTTTGACCAGGAAGACAAAAGACTGTCTGTTTTACACTGAGTAAACAATTTTTTTTTTCTGTAATGACTGACTGACTCAAGATGTCATATGTCCCATTTCCTTCAGTGGTCAGAGTATGCTTACAAAGCAGTGCTTCTCATGGCAGCAGCACCTGGCAGCCCAGACTGCCACCCTGCTGGGTGTGACTGGGGAGCCTGGGAACACAAAAGAAACACTCTCCCTGTGGTTGTGTTCTACACAAAGTTTTCTGTGAGAGAGCTGCAGCAAGTAACATCACCTGAATGCTAGTTTTGGCATCTCAAAGTTCTGCAAGGAGCAAGCACAGAAAACACTGGCTTGCATCAGCTCTCATCAAGAATGTAATTCCTTTTGGCATGCCAACTGCCTGGTTAAAAGCTGCTGTTCTCCTATGCCCATTATTTATCAAGTCCATTACATGCTCCATGCAGGCTTCAGGGAGACCTCGCTGCACCCTTTCAGTACTTAAAATGAGCTTATTAAAAATTAGAGGGAGAGGGGCTTCTTGCAAAAACATGCAGTGACTGGACGAGGGGAAATGGTTTCAAACTGAGAGTACATTTAGATGAGATATGGAGAGGAAATTCTTTAGGGTGAAGGTAGTGGGGCGCTGGCCAGGTTGCCCAGAGGAGCTGTGAAAGCCCCGTCCCTGCAAGAGTTTAAAGCCTGGCTGGATACACTGAGCAATCTGGTCTAGTGGAAGGTGTGCCAGCCCATGGCAGAGGGTTGGAATGAGATAATCTCTAAGGCCCCTTCCAACCCAAGCTGTTGAATGATTCTGTATGAATCTTAAATAAAGTTAGGCCTTCTGAGATTCTCTGGAGCCTCCAAATTTAAGCTTTCTGGCCCTTGGAGCAGCAGTGGGCTCTAATCTGGGTACACCCTCGGTGTGGCTGCCAGACATTGATGAGCTAGAATTTCCTCTTTGACAAAATGAGGTGTTTTGTGCCAGAAAGGGAGCTGGACCCCAAAGCCCTTGTACCAGCTGGGACCTCGGGATCTCTCTGTGGGCTGTGTCTACACTCATACGGGAGCCAGAAAGCATCTTCCTGCAGTGCCTGTGCAGATCTGGGATGGCACACAGCTCTTGGAGCCAGGTTTTGGGGCCCAGCGCTGCCGTGTGTCCCCAGGGCGTGTGTGAGGGGCTCGCGGGGCAGGCCCGCTTCAGCGACGGCCGCTCCGCAAACAGCATGAGCTTTTCGCTCTGCCGAAACAAAATCCTGCCCGACAGCTTGCAGAAGGCAGGAATAATTATGGGTTTACTCAGTTTGTGGGTTGTTTGGGGTTTTTTTATCTGTCTAGTTTAAAGCAAGATAAGGCGACACGGCACTGCTCCACGTCGGAAACAGAAGCGAGGTACCAAGGACTTGTCCAAAACAACAAACGAACAAACACAGCCAAGATCACACGGGGATTCGGGCGAGCTCAGTTTTATTTTCTGTGGGAGCCCCCGCCCGCGGCTTGTCCAAAATAACAAACAAACAAACACAGCCAAGACCACACAGGAAGCCTCCCCACACGGGGGTTCGGGCGAGCTCAGTTTTATTTTCTGTGGGAGCCCCCGCCCGCGCCAGCCGCGGAGCCCAGCACTGCGCCGGCCCCGCCCGCGCGCCGTGCTGGGCGGGCCAGGCTCCTGCTGCGCACGCGCACTGCCCGTGGCGCGCATGCGCAGCGCAGGAGGCGGCCATGGGATTCCGCAGCGTGTAAGAGGCGGGCGGCGTGAGGGGCGCGGGGGGCGCGGCGGGACCGCGATCGGGCCGGGCCGGGCCAAGGGGCGCTGGGCTCGGCCTGCGCCCGGGGCGCGCTCTGGCCCCCGGTTCGCACTGTTCCCGCGGCTCCCGCCCGGCTCCCGGGTGGGTAATGGATAACCTTGAGGGTAGGGAGAGGCGGCAGCAGGGGACACAAGCAAGGCGAAATTGCTTATTTTGCTTAAAACCGCGCAGTGCGCTGTGGGGCTGTTATTTGTTCCTTTATGCAGCTGGTCCCGGCTTCTGGAAGCTTGGAGCTGGGCACGGGAGGGATGTAAGCTGAGGAGGATGGTGCCGGGCTGTGTAACTGCGGGAGGGGGTGTAGGGTGTCCTTGGGAGCAGTGGATCCACAGGTGTGGTGACAGGAAACTTGTGGGGTTGGAATAAGGAAACTCGGCCTGTCAGGGAGAACACTCTTCATCCCATGCAGTGCTCCTCCAGGCGTGGTATTCGGAGTTCCACTGTTGTGGAATGCCAGAACGGAGTATGCAACAAATTAAAAAACCAGAAAGAACGCCAACACCCCCCTGAAAACAAAAACAAAAAAAACACCCAACCCACACAGAAATAATTCTACCTTGTTGCAAGTGACCTCTGTTGCTTTGTTTAAAAATAAAAATTATTTTGAAGAGTCTTGGCCTGTCTTAAGATGTTGATTTCCTAGTAAGTGTTTTCAACTAGCAATTCTAATAAAAATATCCAATGTTTCTAGCTTGGTTATATGCAACATTGAGACTTTGTATATAAGCAGAAGTAAGATACTGAGCATTAATTTCTCAAACACTTAACACATGGTGTGTGTTTTGCTTCAGAAAGATAGCTTGGGTTTAACCTACATCTGTTCATCTGCAGGGCTGAAATCTGTATTTTCACTTAATTAAAAAAATAATATAAAACTAATGATGTTTACAGTATGCCTGTACCAAAGCTTCACCAGAGAAAAAGGCTTGCCTTTTGCAAATGACGTTATAGAGTACATGCAACACAACTTTTTCCTTACAATTACAGGATCTAAAAGTAGGCTTCAGTAAATATATGTGAGTAAATCACATGGTTTTGTGGTTTTCTTTTTTCTTCTTAAAGATCTGCCACGATGCCTGGGTCTCTTCCAGTGAATGCTGAATCCTGTTGGCCCAAAGATGTGGGAATTGTGGCACTGGAAATATATTTTCCCTCTCAGTATGTTGACCAGACAGAGCTGGAGAAGTACGATGGCGTGGATGCGGGGAAGTACACCATTGGGCTAGGCCAGGCAAGGATGGGGTTCTGCTCTGACCGCGAGGATATCAATTCCCTCTGCTTGACTGTGGTGCAGAAGCTCATGGAGAGGAACAACCTTTCCTATGATTGCATTGGGAGATTAGAAGTTGGAACGGAGACCATCATTGACAAATCAAAATCCGTGAAGACTGTCCTGATGCAGCTTTTTGAAGAGTCTGGTAATACAGATGTAGAAGGAATCGACACCACCAATGCATGCTATGGAGGCACTGCTGCTCTTTTTAATGCTATTAATTGGATTGAGTCCAGTTCCTGGGATGGTAAGTCAAGGGTATTTTCTTGAAAAGTTACATCATCCTTACATCAGTCTGCCCTGCAATGACAGTGGTCATGTTTAACCTTATAAAATTCAGAGGGTAAACTGTTTATCTGTTCTAAAGTCTTTTTCTTAAATACCCTGGGCATTTGCCACTTCAGTTACAGCGTGAATAATGACATAGCTACTAATGTAAAGGTGTTCTGTAAATTTAGGTGATTGCTAATTGAAATGTGGGAGAAAAGTCAAAATTGAAGAGTCCTTTAATCTTGGTGTCATCTTCTCAGTAACTATAGTCTGAAAACTGCTGATGGATGTTAAGATGTGTCAGACTCGTGGCTCCATCTCATCGTTTTCCCTGTGTGTTTTTCCCAGGACGCTATGCCCTCGTGGTGGCTGGGGACATCGCTGTGTATGCCTCTGGAAATGCCAGGCCCACGGGAGGAGCCGGTGCTGTTGCAATGCTGGTCGGCCCAAACGCACCGCTGATTTTTGAGAGAGGTTAGTCCTGTGGGAGAACATACTCTCTTCAGGTCAGATTACTGCTTCTGCCCCGGAGCCTCTTCCCTGGTTTTTGTGCCTTGCTGAAGTGGCAGATCAGCTCCCACTAGTGTCAGAAATTGTTGTCTCTTCTTGGTCTGGGCTAACTCTGCCAAGTCCAGTTACAGGATGCAACAGGGAACAATTAGAGATGCTCCTACTTGTTTATTTCCTTGAGGATTCTCCAGTAAAATTGATAGAGTAATACCAGAGCTGAACAAAACCACATCCTACTTCCAGAACAATATGACAATCTTTCATTGCATGTGTTTGTCAAGCTCAGTCCTATTCTGCTTTTATGGACCATTGAGGAGCATGTGAAACCTTATCTTAAAAGCCAGAAGTGCCATGAAAAACTGCTGAACAGGGGCCAAAACTGCTTATTTTCCCACTTATGCCAACTGACTCAAAGCAACTGAATAAACTAATTTTCAACTCTGGTTGATTTCTGTCCCCCAGGGTTGCGTGGGACCCACATGCAGCACGCGTATGACTTCTATAAACCAGACATGGTCTCTGAATATCCCGTCGTGGATGGCAAGCTCTCCATTCAGTGCTACCTCAGTGCGCTGGACCGCTGCTACACCGTCTACCGCAACAAAATCCACGCCCAGTGGCAAAAGGGTGCGTAGCCTCTCCTGGTGGTACTGCAGCACTGGCAGATGCTCGAGTGTGTACCACACAGGCAGTTTTAGTATCTGATCTAAAAACTAGTCTGCAAGTCTTTCATGTTTATATGTTCTGAAGTGATTGAAGTAATTGCTGTCTCCTGTAAGAAATTATTTATTTCTGTTCTGGCATGTTTAATTTCCTGACAGTCTGTAAGCAGTAGTCTGTACAGGCATTTGTTGGTGTAAGATATAATGCCTTGGTTAAAAGCATACTGTTACCCACCTCCATCCAGACTTTTAAGAAACTTAGGTTAATATTTAAATGTTCTGTAATTATACTGGTTTGGGGGTTTTTTTACCCAATGTATTTAGTAATTGCTTCAATTAAGAGGCATAAGTGTAAAGAGAGGCAAATTAAATAGATTATTATGTCAAAAGGCTGGGTAGAAATACAGAGATTCTGTTAAATGTGCTTTTTGTTGCAGATAAAGGGCAAACATTGTATAGCTGGTGCAAAAGGTAGTAAAAGAAGAATTTTTAAACAGTGCAGTGTGTTAAGTGCACTTGACAGCCGTAGTTAGTGTTACTTTTATGTTTGTATCTCTTCTATGCCAACATGTTATGATGACTGGTGTCCTGCCAGCTCCCTCCCTGCTTTATTTCCATAATTGAAGTGAGTACTAAACAGAGGTTGTAACATAACACTTCTGCCACTTCCAGAGGGGACAGACAGACGTTTCACCTTGAATGACTTTGGATTCATGATCTTCCATTCTCCGTACTGTAAACTGGTACAGAAATCTGTGGCTAGGCTCTTGCTGAATGACTTTCTCAGTGACCAGAACCCAGAAACAGCAAATGGTGTTTTCAGTGGTCTGGAAGCTTTCAGGTGAGAATGGCTGCTGTCTACCTTATTCACATAATCTGTTAAACATCCAAGGTGTGTTCTTACTTTCTGCTATTTTATTAACTGCTTCTGAACTTATTTTTCTCTTTTGAATAGGGATATAAAACTTGAAGATACATACTTTGACAGGTATTTTATTAACTGCTTCTGAACTTTTTTTTTTCTCTTTTGAATAGGGATATAAAACTTGAAGATACATACTTTGACAGAGATGTGGAAAAAGCTTTTATGAAAGCTAGTGCAGAGCTCTTCAATCAGAAAACCAAAGCTTCATTACTTGTATCCAATCAGAATGGAAATATGTATACCCCTTCAGTCTACGGTTGCCTTGCCTCTCTTCTAGCCCAGTAAGCATAAAATTGAGAAATGCTTTCTATGAATAAGGTCATAAAAGGTTTTTTTCAGAAAGTCTTTTGTAAAAGCATCATCTAGCAAACCCTTCCCTATGATATTGCCTTAAGCAGAAAAAATAAAATTAAAACACAATTCTACACACACATTCACTTCAAGTGACACGCAGATTGAAAATGTCTATGTCAGAAGCTGATGCAAAACAGCTGCTTACTGCCTTGAAAGTAGGATCTTATATGTAAGGTATTGCCTGTTCTCAGCCCCAACTTTCCTCCTCTTCCTCCCCCTAGAAACACTCATGAAGAGAAAAAAAATCTGAATGTCTTCTCTGTCTTAATAAGTAAAGCCAAATCAAATTAGTAGTTAATTAATCAGTTTTTTTTCAAATACAGCCTTTTACAAAATCATATTAAGTTTACATTAAACCACTCCTGTGTCTTCTTTTTTCTTTCTTTTTCTTTATTCG